TGGGGGGGGGGTCTCGGGGTTTTGGGTCTCTGGGGTTTTTTTGGGGGGTCTTTGTGGGATATTTTGGGATCTCTGTGGGATTTTTGGGATCTCTGTGAGATTTTGGGGGTCTGAGGGTGGATTTTGGGGATTTCTGTGTGATTTTGGGGGTCTTTGAGAGGATTTTTGGGATCTCTGTGGGGTTTTTGGCGTCTCTGTGAGGTTTTGGGGGTCTCAGGGTGGATTTTGGGGTCTCAGGGTGGATTTTGGGGGTCTCAGGGTGGGTTTTGGGGGTCTCAGGGTGGATTTTGGGGTCCCACTGACCCCGTTTTCCCCCCAGCACATCACGGTGGTCGTGGGGCGCCCCTTCAGCGCCCGGCCCCTCCTGGAGCGGCTGCGCAGCGAGGGGACCCCCACGGTGGGTTGGGTGGGACCCCATATTTGGGGGGCTGGGACCCCCCTTTTGGGGGGCTGGGACCCCCACGGTGGGTTGGGTGGGACCCCATATTTGGGGGGCTGGGACCCCCCTTTTGGGGGGCTGGGACCCCCACGGTGGGTTGGGTGGGACCCCATATTTGGGGGGCTGGGACCCCCCTTTTGGGGGGCTGGGACCCCCACGGTGGGTCTGGGTGGGACCCCCGCATTTGGGGGGTTTGTCCCAAAAATTTGGGGGGTTCTGACCCCAAGATCTGGGGGTTCTGACCCTGAGATTTGGGGTTGTCCTGGAAATTTGGGGGGCTCTGACCCCGGGATTTGGGGTTTGACCCCAAGATCTGGAGGGATTGTAACTCATAAATTCGGGGTTTGGTCCATACATTTGGGACTTGACCCACAGATTTGGGGTTCTGACCCGGGTATCTGGGGGGGTGTAACCCACAGATTTGAGGTTTGCCCCATAAACTTGGGAGGGGCTGCCCCATAGATCTATAGGTCTCTTTCCCAGCCCCACACATCTGTGTATCCCTTTTTCCAGCCCCATAAATCCCTGGACCCCAACCCCACAGGCACAAGGGTCCCCTTTCCTGCCCCACAAATCCCAGGATCCAGCCCCATAAACCCTGGATTCTCACCCCATAAATCCCGGGATCCAGCCCCATAAACCCTGGATTCTCACCCCATAAATCCCGGGATCCAGCCCCACAGATCCCAGGATCCAGCCCCATAAATCCATGGATCCCTATTCCCGCGATCCTGCCCCACAAATCCCAGGATCCAGCCCCATAAACCCTGGATTCTCACCCCATAAATCCCGGGATCCAGCCCCATAAACCCTGGATTCTCACCCCATAAATCCCGGGATCCAGCCCCACAGATCCCAGGATCCAGCCCCATAAATCCATGGATCCCTATCCCATAAATCCCGGGATCCCAGCCCCACAGATCCTGGGATCCAGCCCCCCAGATCATGGATCCCAATCCCATAAATCCCTGGATCCAGCCCCCCAGATCTTGGGATCACACCCCATAAATCCATGGATCCCAGCCCCACAGATCCTGGGATCCCTATCCCATAAAGCCCTGGATCCAGCCCCACAGATCCCAGAATCCAGCCCCATAATCCCTGGATTCTCACCCCATAAATCCCGGGATCCAGCCCCCCAGATCATGGATCCCAATCCCATAAACCCCAGGATCCAGCCCCCCATAAATCCCTGGATCCAGCCCCCCAGATCATGGATCCCAATCCCATAAATCCCGGGATCCCAGCCCCACAAATCCCAGGATCCAGCCCCGTAAACCCTGGATTCTCACCCCATAAATCCCGGGATCCAGCCCCACAGATCCCTGGATCCCGGCCCCATAAATCCATGGATCCCAATCCCATAAATCCCTGGATCCAGCCCCCCAGATCATGGATCCCAATCCCATAAATCCCGGGATCCCAGCCCCACAAATCCCAGGATCCAGCCCCGTAAACCCTGGATTCTCACCCCATAAATCCCGGGATCCAGCCCCACAGATCCCTGGATCCCGGCCCCATAAATCCATGGATCCCAATCCCATAAATCCCTGGATCCAGCCCCCCAGATCATGGATCCCAATCCCATAAATCCCGGGATCCCAGCCCCACAAATCCCAGGATCCAGCCCCGTAAACCCTGGATTCTCACCCCATAAATCCCGGGATCCAGCCCCACAGATCCCTGGATCCCGGCCCCATAAATCCATGGATCCCAATCCCATAAATCCCTGGATCCAGCCCCCCAGATCATGGATCCCAATCCCATAAATCCCGGGATCCCAGCCCCACAAATCCCAGGATCCAGCCCCGTAAACCCTGGATTCTCACCCCATAAATCCCGGGATCCAGCCCCACAGATCCCTGGATCCCGGCCCCATAAATCCATGGATCCCAATCCCATAAATCCCTGGATCCAGCCCCCCAGATCATGGATCCCAATCCCATAAATCCCGGGATCCCAGCCCCACAAATCCCAGGATCCAGCCCCGTAAACCCTGGATTCTCACCCCATAAATCCCGGGATCCAGCCCCACAGATCCCTGGATCCCGGCCCCATAAATCCATGGATCCCAATCCCATAAATCCCTGGATCCAGCCCCCCAGATCATGGATCCCAATCCCATAAATCCCGGGATCCCAGCCCCACAAATCCCAGGATCCAGCCCCGTAAACCCTGGATTCTCACCCCATAAATCCCGGGATCCAGCCCCACAGATCCCTGGATCCCGGCCCCATAAATCCATGGATCCCAATCCCATAAATCCCTGGATCCAGCCCCCCAGATCATGGATCCCAATCCCATAAATCCCGGGATCCCAGCCCCACAAATCCCAGGATCCAGCCCCGTAAACCCTGGATTCTCACCCCATAAATCCCGGGATCCAGCCCCACAGATCCCTGGATCCCGGCCCCATAAATCCATGGATCCCAATCCCATAAATCCCGGGATCCAGCCCCCCAGATCATGGATCCCAATCCCATAAATCCCTGGATCCAGCCCCCCAGATCTTGGGATCACACCCCATAAATCCATGGATCCCAGCCCCACAGATCCTGGGATCCCTATCCCATAAAGCCCTGGATCCAGCCCCACAGATCCCAGAATCCAGCCCCATAATCCCTGGATTCTCACCCCATAAATCCCGGGATCCAGCCCCCCAGATCATGGATCCCAATCCCATAAACCCCAGGATCCAGCCCCATAAATCCCTGGATCCCAGCCCCACAGATCCTAGGATCTCACCCCACAGATCCCGGGATCCCAGCCCCATAAATCCCAGCCCCACACCTCGGGGTCTCTCCCCACCCCTCGGGGTCTCTCCCCACACTTTGGGGTCTCTCAGCCCCACACTTTGGGGTCTCTCCCCACAGGTGGAGCTCCGCAAGGCCCTGACCGATTTTGTCCAGCGGGAATTCGAGGCTCTGCGGGGCCACGCCCGGACCCTGCACCCCACCCCATAACTGGGGACCCCCTGCCCCACAACTGGGGGGTTCCACCCCATAACTGGGGGGTTCCGCCCCAAAACTTGGGGGTTCCACCCCATAATTTGGGGTTCCACCCCAAAACTCCGGGTTGTGCCCCATAGCAAGACCCTCCTGCCTCATAAAGGGGGATTTTACCCCATAATTTGGGGTCTTGCCCCAAAACTGGGGGTCCTGCCCCACAGCAGGGGGTCCCTGGTGGAGTCCCTGCCCCACAGGGGGGTCCTGCCCCCAATCTGAGCCCCCCAACTGTGCACGGTGCCAATAAAAGGTGGAACCTCGGGGGTCTCTGGGGGATTTTGGGGTCCCACAGGGGATTTTGGGGTCCCAGGGAGAATTTGGGAGGTCCCAGGATGGAATTTGGGGGTCCCGGGGGGGAATTTTGGACCCCAAAACCAAGCGAGTCCCAACCCGAGGTGAATTTATTGAAGCAGAAAAAAGGGGAGGGGTCCCCATTGCCCCCCAAAAACCCCTTGGGAAGAGGGGGGGACAGAGGGGGGGGGTCAGCCTCCCCAAAACGAGGCTTGGACCCCCCCAAAATGAGATTTGGACCTCAAAAAAAAGGGGAAAGGTCCCAAAAATGACGCCAGAACCCCCCAAAAATGGGGCTGGGGGCGTGGCCTGGTCCAGGAGGGGATTTAAGGGGCGTGGCCTGGTCCCGGGGGCGGGGTTTAGAATAGATGTGGGCGTGGTTTGTAGCAGGTGTGGGCGTGGCCTGGCGTGGCCCCGCCCCTCACTCCTCCTTCTTGTCCCGGGGTCCATCGTGGGCGGCCTGGGGGGGAAAGGGGGGATTGAGGGGGGGCGTGTTTCTGGGGTTGTTTTCAGGTATTTTTGGGGTCGTTTTCAGGTGTTTTTAGGGTTGTTTTCAGGTGGTTTTGGGATTATTTTCAGGTATTTTTGGGGTAGTTTTTAGGATTGTTTCCAGGTGATTCTGGGGTTGTTTCCACGTGTTTCTGGGGTTGTTTTCAGGTATTTTTGGGGTCGTTTTCAGGTGTTTTTAGGGTTGTTTTCAGGTGGTTTTGGGATTATTTTCAGGTATTTTTGGGGTAGTTTTTAGGATTGTTTCCAGGTGTTTCTGGGGTTGTTTCCGGGTATTTTCGGGTGTTTTCAGGTGCTTTTGGAATTATTTTCAGGTGTTTTCGGGTGTTTTTGGGCCCTCTGTACCTTCCTGAGGGCGTCGTTGTCCTCCAGGTACTGCCGCGCGGCCTGGCTGGCGCCCTCGGCCTGCTTGCGGAACGCCTGGCTGGAGGCGCCCAGGGCAGCCTGCGCCGAGATCAGCGTCACCAGGCGCCTCAGGAGGCTGGGGGGGACAAATTTGGGGTGAGGGACCCCCAAATTGGGGTCAGGGACCCCCCTGGGGTCACCCAGAGCCCCCCCCTGAGCTCCCCGGGCCTATTGGTGTGAGGCCTGGTTGGAGGCCTCGAGTGCGGCCTAGGCCTTGATCAACGAGGCACCTCAGGAGGGTGGGAGGACAAATTTGGGGTGAGGGACCCCCAAATTAGGATCAGGGAACCCCAAATTGTGGTGAGGGACCCCCAAATTGGGGTTAGGGACCCCCCTGGGTCACCCAGAGCCCCCCCTGAGCTCCCCAGGCCTCTTGGTGCGAGGCCTGGTTGGAGGCCTCAAGTGCGGCCTAGGCCTTGATCAACGAGGCACCTCAGGAGGGTGGGAGGACAAATTTGGGGTGAGGGACCCCCAAATTAGGATCAGGGAACCCCGAATTGTGGTGAGGGACCCCCAAATTGGGGTTAGGGACCCCCCTGGGTCACCCAGAGCTCCCCCTGAACTCCCTGGGCCTGTTGGTGTGAGGCCTGGCTGGAGGCCTCGAATGCGGCCTAGGCCGAGATCAGGGCCCAGGAGTTGGGGGGGAAACAAAAATGGGGCTCAGGGACCCCCAAATTTTGGTCAGGGATCCCTCAAAATCCTCATGAATTTCCTCAGTGTCTGGGACCCCCCAAATTCCCTCCAGTCCCCTCAAATCCCTCCCAGGCTCACAAGGAGAGCAGCAGGGCGAAGCCAGCCAGGTCCAGCCTCTTCCCAACCCCTCCAAAACCACCTCCAATCCCCCCAAAACCAACTCCAAACCCCCCAAATCGTATCCAGGACCCCCCAAACCAACTCCAGGACCCCCCCAAAATCCCGCCAGGCTCACAAGGAGAGCAG